AAGAGTGAGCGCATTTGAGAGAGCACCGGAGCTTCGAGCAAGTTTGAAGTGTTGAGGATTAGTCCTTTCGACCTGATGGCGCTGGCGGAGACTTCAGCGAAAAATCGAAGCTCTTCGTCTTCAGCTTTTGTTGCTTTTCTACACATTGTAGGGAGGTCTCGACGCCGGAGAAAGCTTTCCATGGCAGGCACGCTTTTTATGGGTTCATCAAGGTCTCCGTCGGCTGCAACTTTTAACAGTTGTTAGTTTACTCTAGCCCAAATAATTTGTTTTTAATATCCACGAACTTCAAAATATTAGAAACAAAATAGAAGAAAGAATTGCTGCTAGGTACCTGGAAAAGGGAGCTCGCCGGCCTCTATCATGTGAGGGAAGCGGAGATAAACCCAAAGGCTAGATGCACTGATTGTTCGGAACACAATTGGTGGGACGCCCAAGGCCAGAGCGGCGTCCATGGCTAAGGGCATCAATCCATCCACGATTAAGCAGCTCACCGGAGGCCAACCGTTGGGGTCTTGGCTTCCACCGGCGAGCAGCAGTGCGCGGAAGGAATCCAAAGAGCGGGTTCTGAGAGAATGCCCGAGCTCACGTAATTGGTGCACTGAGCGAGGGTTGTCATCAGGGAGGCCGTCGGGAATTGAAATGAAGCGGAAATTGGGGCGGAGGGAGAAGCGAGAATATTTTGAAGGGGAGAAGATGCGGAGGAGGCGGTGGTTGTGGACGGTGTTGAGAAAGCTGATGCGGAAGCTGCCGGCGAAGGAGAGAGCGTCGGCTAAGCGGAGCATGGTGTTTATGTGGCCTTGGATGGGGAAGGGGAAGATGAGAACGTGGGCTTCTCGCTGCTGGTTTTCTTTGGCCGACTCCATCAATTTTGTTTGTGGGATGGAAGGAACTGTTTTACCTTCGAATCTTTAATACCAAAGGTGGACGGCTTGAACAGCAGGCGGCAATTAGAAGATTTTTTTTTTCAGGGTTAAACATGTAAATAAAACAATTGAGATTTTATATCTGTAAATACATAAACATGTGATACGTATGCAACAGTTTTTTTGTTTTTTGTTTTTTGTTTTTTGTTTTTTTTTTTTTAATTATGAATGGAAGATACTGTTACCTATGATATCCAAGTTGTCTGAGGGACATGCGTACAGAGGCAAGTTTCAACTACAAGAACTAAAATAAATTAACATTTGGATATTTGTTCATTGAAATTAATGTGTGTCGTAGTCATAAATTTAATACCACCTTAGAATTATACAAAAACCAATCACACAATCAAGTTGTTAAAGAGAGTAAGCAAGAGATGAAATCTCGATTTTTTTGTGGAACACTCTGTGTGGTCTCGTCCAATTGAAATCATCCACTGTGAATGATGCGTATACAAGTTTGTTCTTCTCTTGAATTAGAAAAAATAGAGTTATAAAGATAATCATTGTAAGGGCACAGTAGCGGTTCATCGATAATAGTTGTAGTCTGGTAGTGCTCAATTTAGTTCTTGGTGAGAGCAGACTTCAATCATTGAAGTCGCCTTCCATAGAGGCATTAGTCCATCGTGAATGTTGTAGATTGTGGTCGTGATTCCAGCTCGTCTTATAGGCCTTAATTGAAAGCCATGGAAATTGTTGGCTATGTGGGCCACAAAAGTCATAGTACGAAGCTACAGAAGCCAAGAGCCGGCTATGTGGGCCACAAAAGACATATTACGAAGCTGCAGAAGCTACGAGCCACGTAGGTCGTAGCGGTGAGCAATGATGACATTTGTAATACACAAGAGTTTGAGTCGAGAGCTGCGCGAGTTGTACTCCATATAGGTTGTAGTTAATCACATAAGTCGTAATGATGAGCTATGATGATGTTCATAGGCCGTCGGGACAGAAGTTTGGAGCTACAAGAATTGTGGCAATTTCGGTCGTAGCCGGCCACGTAGCCGCAATGGTGAGCTATGATAATGTCTGAAGGCTTTATGGGCCAAAGTTGAGAGCTGCATGAACTGTGAATCACATGTGTAGTTTGTCACGTAGCCTGTAGTGTTGAGTTATGTTGACGTCCTAAGACCGCAAGAGTTGAAGTCTAGAGAAAGTCACTATCGTGAGTATATTGTTATGTCAACTTCAGGAATTTTCGTTACCACTGCAAGTAGGGTGCGTTGTTACTTTGCAATTTATGTCGATGTTCTATAGTGCACGTTGTGACATCACAAATGACTTCATTGGAAGGAGCAGGTGACAAACAATGATGGTTGATGATGGCCTTATACGGTGGCCAAAGGTACTGGAAGCGGTCGTAATGATGAGCTATGATGATGTTCATAGGTCGTCGGGACAGAAGTTTGGAGCGACAAGAATTGTGGACAATTTCGGTCGTAGCCTGCCACACAGCCGCAATGGTGAGCTATGATAATGTCTGAAGGCTCTATGGGCTAAAGTTGAGAGCTGCATGAACTGTGAATCACATAAGGTGTAGTTTGTCAGGTAGCTTGTAGTGTTGAGTTATGTTGACGTCCTAAGGCCTCAAGAGTTGAAGTCTAGAGAAAGTCACTATCGTGAGTATATTGTTATGTCAACTTCGGGAATTTTCGTTACCACTGCGAATAGGAGCATAAATGTAACTTCATATACTATTTCTCATCTGTGGAATTATTTCATGAATAAAAATTACACAACCTTTCAGTCAACTTTTCGTTATTGTGTGTAAGGGTGTAAACGAGCCAAACACAAGCTGCAATGATGAGCTATGATGATGTACGTAGGCCTTAGGAGATAGAGTTGGGAGATGTATGACTTGTGAATCTCGTAAGCTGTCAAACAAAGATGGTTGGCGCCTGTGGTGGCGGCCGGATTCAATCATAGATAGTGACAATCAGAGTTGGTCGGACCCGACCGACAGCATTAAGCCCAACAACACTGACTGGCGTAGCAAATCTTCATGATCGCGGAAGCATTATTCAATTCAGTCGACCGAGCTTCCTAGGCCAAAAAATAGTAAGGTAGTGTGCTCACAAGGTAAAAAACCTAGAATGAACTATAGTATCCTTTCATAAATAGGAGCATAAATGTAACTTTATATATTATTTCTCATCTGTGAGATTATTTCATGAATAAAAATTACACAACCTTTTAGTCAACTTTTCATTATTGTGTGTAAGGGTGTAAACGAGCCGAACACAAGCTGCAATGATGAGCTATGATGATGTAC